GAAAATGACTAAAGAATTTAATTAAAAATCATTAAAAATGACAACGTATTACTTAAAATAAACTTTAACTTAAAATAAAATATAAAAAAGCTTAAACTTATTTTATTTTAGCTAGTTGACAAGTCAATATTTCTCATTTTTGTTTAGTTTAAGTACTAAAATGACTAAGGTAAAACTAAAACTTATATAAACATATTTCAAAAAATTCAAAAATAAAATGACAACAATTTTACCTAAAATTAAAATGAGAATTTTTTTTAATTTAAAACAATTAAAAAAATTAACAAAAAAACTATAATAGTACACTAAAATAACACTAATCATTGTTAATGTTAGTAATAAAAATGCAACTGCTTCTAGTTAGTTGTAAAAGTAACATAATGAGCAATAAATGTTACAGTATTTATTAACCCTTTTAAAACTAGTAAAACTATTCATTGTTAGTTCATGTAAGCTCAAAACCATTAAATAATATTAATTGTACAACTTGTGATTTTAAAAACATAGTAGTAAATGCTGAAAGTGACTAAGAACAAAGAATAATAAATGCTTTAGAAGTATTTTTATTAGTTCATGTAAGCTAGTGTAGTTAACTAATGTTAACAAATGGAAGTCTTGTGTAAAGTGTTACTAGTAATTCTTTAAAGATGCACACATAAATGAGTGTGTGTGTGTTTGTGTGTGTGTGTGTGTGTGTGTGCGGGTGTGTGTGAGTGTTGCTTTCTACAAGTGTGTATGTATGAGATGGAAGGCCGGGGACGTGTGTGTGTGTGTGTGTGTGTGAGTGTGAGTGTGTGTGTGCGTGAGTGTGAGTGTGTGTGTGCGTGCGTGAGTGTGTGTGTGTGTGTGTGTGTATGTGTGTGTCTCATATCTCTTGTCTCTTGTTCAGGGAGACAGCGGGGGTCCTCTGGTGTGCCGGACTGAAGCAGGTGGCTGGCGGTTGGCCGGTGTGGTGAGTTGGGGTGAAGGATGTGGACGAGTCAATAAACCCGGCGTTTACAGCAGAATCACTCCACTGCTGCACTGGATTCATCAGTACATCAGTGTAAATACACATCACGTCACAACACTGCTCAGAGAGTGTTACGGGTTCAGATTAAACTCTGTACAACATCCACCGGCTGATTACCACCGTCATCTGTCAAAACAAGCTAAAATAATATTTACAGGGCTGTCAAAATGGTTGAAAAACTAAATTCGAATTTTGTACTTAAATATGATTAATATTCGAATTATATTCGAATTTAAAAAGCATAATTTGAGTTAGGGAGGAAAAAAGCTTTTGGCTTCTCTCCTGAGGCCACAAGAGGGCGCATCGAGCAAAATATTACTAATGCACGTTTCTTCAAAGCAATAAAATAACACGACTATCTGTGAAAAAATAATGTTTAAATTAATGTTTATAAACCATATATAATTAATTAAGTTGCTTAAACAATTAGAAACCGATCACAAAGAGTACTTTTTCATTTAAAAACATGAGATGCAGTGGGATGGGGAAAACTGCCATAAAAGTCTCGAGACATGTTTTTTTAAAAGTTGAACTTGCATTAATTTTACATGGCTTTCTAAACATACGGCTCTCTTGTGCTTTTTATTTTAAATTCGACGAATATTCGGAATTCGAATAGTTCCTTTAGTTCACTGCATTCGTTAACATAAACTAATAATGAAAATACTTTTATTAATCTTAATGTTCATTTCAACATTTACTAATACATATTAAAAATTCATTTTTTTAAAGTTAATACTATTTAATGGACCTGAGGTAACATAAACTAACAATAAGTAGTTGTATTTTTATTATTTAATAGTAAACAAAGATTAATAAATACTAACAAATGTATTGCTTATTGTTAGTCAATGCATAACTAATGAGACCTAATTCTAAAGCCTTACCTGTACATATTATTTATTAACATGAAACTAAAGTCCATCACTGACTGACCTTGACTGTGTAAAATAAACCAATAAACCAACTAAACTCCTGATACGACTAGTGAAAGTATAATCAAATTGGCTGCCAGTCATTTCAACTTTTAATAAATTATAATAATTATATATTATTATAAATTAGTGCTGTCAAACGATTACTTATAATAAAGTCAATTATAATAAACTGACTTATAAATCGTAACTTTAAAAAGTTGAAATTGAAAATGAAATGAGTTAAAGTAATGGAAAAATAAATCTTGACTTATTCATCATATCATTTTTACAGTGCGCGATAACTTTAATTAAATATGTGCAAAACTCTTTATTCAGACTTCAATCTGAGCCCAGAACATTCCTTGCGTTATGGCAGCATGCATTTATAATAAGTCCAAAATCCATTAATATTTCTTTAATTGATTTCAGGATGAAGACGAAGAGTCCTTCTCGACGGTCACCACACAGAGCAATCCCTTTTGAAAACAGTGTCATTAATTATTATTACACAGATTGTACAAGGCTTTAATCTCATAACTGATAACTGAAAGCTTTGTGAGAGTGCATATCATGTGCAATAAAAGATGATTAGATGCAGAGCGGCTGGTTTGAACTGACTGTGACTGGAGTCACGTACGCTCAGAGAAGGGCGTGTCCTGATGAACGGAATGTGGTTTATTCAGCTGATTCACTCTGACTGTCTCTGATCATCATCATCATCATCATCATGATGCTTGAATCTGAATCTGATCATGCATCTGGAAACTTCACTGATCTGGGACCTGACGTGGCCAACATCTCATCCAATACATAACATGGAAAAGACGGCTCATGAATATTAATGAGCATGTGCTGTTGTTGCTATGTAACCGGCTGAGAGTGTCTGTTGTGTCTGTAATTGACCCTCAGAGACTCGTTGATATTTCTGAGCTTGCGTGACTGATTGTGGATTGTTGTTGAACATCAACATCTTTATAAAGCCGCAGGTTTAGAGGCCTTTACCAGCATCTTCACGGGTGAGTTCATCTCTCTCGAGCCATCAGGGTCAGTATCCGTCTCTGATTGAATGGAAGCCCAATCTTATTGCAACTTTTTGTCTCACAATTTGGACTTTTTTTCCTCAGAATTCTGAGATAACTCAAAATTCTGACTTTCTTTCTCACAATTCAGGGTTTATATCTCGGAGTTTTGATTTATATCTCACAATTCTGCGTTATATCGCAATTCTGATTTATATCTCGTAATTCTGCATTATATCGCAATTCTGCATTATATCGCAATTCTGATTTATATCGCAAATTCGCAATTCTTAATTTATACCTCGCAATTCTGATTTATGTTTTGCAATTCTGAATTTATATCTCACAATTTTGAATTTATATCTCACAATTCTGCATTATATCGCAATTCTGATTTATATCTCGCAATTCTTAATTTATATCTCACAATTCTTAATTTATATCTCACAATTCTTAATTTATATCTCACAATTCTGAGTTTATTTCGCAATTCTGATTTATATCACAATTCAGAGTTTATATCTCACAATTCTAATTTATGCTTTGCAATTCAGAATTTGTATCTTGCAATTCTGATTTATATATTGTTCCAAACACGATACTAGCCTTTCAAAGTTATCCAGCTCAAAAACGTATATAGTTTTTGTCAGTGTTTAAAACATCCAGTTATGCAGAATATAAGTTGGTAAATATTTAATTGATGAGTTGTCAATACAATATATAGGGTATGATTTTACCACAAAATTCAGCATATTGACATTACATGATATACGTAACTGCAAATCTGTGTTTCGCTGCCTGGAGTCCATTTGTTTCTGTGAATTGCATTCTCTCTTATAGCTTTCCGCAGTCTGTAAAAATATTCCTCAGATTTCTTGTCAAAACTATTTCTACGTTTGACTTTCAGCAGTGTCCAGTGTTTCCCATACACTGATTTATTTCAAAACTGCCCTGATTTCTAGGGCAGAGAAAAACCCATATCGGTCGACCTCTATTGCTGACACTTAAATGACTTGTTTTGCCACTTTTGCACTTGCTATTAATGTATTTTGAATGCAAAAGGCACTTTTGATATTTTTTTTTTTTTAAATAGTGTTGATTTGTTATGCATGTTTATTAAAAACAATTGTTCCGGACCTTTGACACTGATGAAAATTCAGATTTGGACCTTTGAATGTAGATTTTGAGAAGCCCTGCCCTGCTCTTTGGTGGCACTGGAATCAGTGTTGTCAACTTAGCAGTCTTGTTGCTTAATTTAGCAACTTTTCGGACTACCCTAGCAACGTTTTCTTCCAAAAGCACCTAGCAACAAATTTGAGCAATTTTTAAAATGTATCTGGCAACTTTTAGCAACTTTTGAGAAGTGACTCGGACAATAAAAAGGCACACATTTTCCATCCGAATTACACAAAAAGAGGAAACCACAGAAGCCTCGCAGTACACACATCACGTGAACTGAGTTAGCTGCTATTTGCAATTGTTAAATTTGATAATAACTGAATAATTGTTCATTTATGATACACTTTGTTAGTAGCTTGCGATTGTTGAACATTTTCCTGCACATAATTAATTGTAACCCTGTGACCCGAAAACACAATGCGTTATTAATTAGATATAATTATATATTAATTATAAATATATTTATTAATGCAAGTAAAAAACCAATACGGATTAATTTTTTTCATATTAACAGTAGATTGTGCCTTATGTTTACAGACTTTTCTTATGAGTGTAGCATGCTAACTACTAATACACTGCTTAAATCATAATTGTTGAGAATGTGTAGTATTACTAGTTTACTAGCTATTAAAAAAACAAACTAAATTGTAATCATTCAAAATTGTGTGTGTTCAATAATTCAATCAATGTATTTAAAAATACACTTAAAATACATTTTACAAACAAATCTAAATTAACATATATAAAATATTTTTTTACTGAGATTTGATGACGTCACAAATGCTTTTAGCAAAAGATCGACCTTCCTTTTGCAACTTCGCCGGCGCACGCAAGAGCGTACTGCGCATGCGCAGACACGTCAACGCTCCGTGACGGTCGAATTTCGTAAACATTGCGTCGGGGCGCTATTATCTTCAATACAACTGTCTCTACTGAATATTTACCATACATTACGCGATTTTATGCATGCGTAGGTCACGTGTGAGGCGTTATAACGCGCTCTAGCGCGTTGTCTGCAGAGTCCGCGGAAGGAGGCGTGACTCCCGCGTTTACTGTTACATTGTGACACCGGAGTTCATTCAGATACAGATCAGATCTGCCCGACACTCGCCAAACTAGTCTGAGGTGCAGACGGAAGTAAAATGAGTGCAGCTCTCTTACACAGACTGAAGCCCGCAGTGAGCGTCGCGAGCCGCCTGTGGAGCTGCAAACCCCCGCGGATCGAGCCGAGCAGCGCAGCCGCCTCAGTGAGACTCTACAGCGGACTGATGGAGTCCCGAGCGCCGCTCTTCAGACAGGTGAGCCGCTTCAGTCGCTTATTCTTCTGACATGTGCGAACACAAGCGTTCAGGAAGCGCTAAACACTGGAAATAACAACAACGACAGGTCCAAAGCAAGGTTATATAAGACTTCTTCTCATACACAATGATCTGAGTGATTTACACCGGCATCATAAAGCAATACAGACACATAAAAGTTAAAGTTCAACTTTTCTCACAGCATTTGACAGAACTTTGAGCTGTGGTGGATGTTATTATGTGGTTCTCTACACACTGTATATACATCCACTAAAAACGTAATGCTAAAAGGATTTTTTTGACTCCTGTATGCTAAAACAAACCCCTATTGACATTCTCTGAATGACAGTCTGTTACAAATACATCAATGAAGCACTGCAACATTTAGAACCATAGTTTGTTACTACAGCTACTGTTACTGCTGTAAAATCATACATTCAAACAGAATATATATATATATATATGTGTGTGTGTGTGTGTGT